AGGGGAGGAAGGGAGGAGGGGAGGAAGGGAGGAAGGGAGGAAGGAAGGAAGGGTCTTGCAAGGACCCATAATAATATGTTTGGAACCAAGGATTTGGGTTCATCTGACTCTTTGTCCCTGAAGCCCAAAGAGAAAGAGTCAAGGGCTCCTCTCACTGAGATCCCCTGCAGCAAGTTCAGGGGCTAGTTGCCTAATGCTGAGCCCTGAACCGAAAAGATACATGGGAAGAGCAGCTGATTCCTGGTGGAACTGTGTATATTTACTTATTTTAGGCAGGCATGCAGATGACAATCTGATTCAATTAGGTTTTTAAAAATTACCTATTTCTAACAGAACAACATATTGAAAGTAGTACCCCTTGTTTGGATTCTGATTTGAATAAACCCAATCATAAAAAACATTTTTTAGATAATTGGGGGAATTTCAGTGTAAACTGGATATCAGATAATAATGAATTATTATTTTATTGGGCATAATGGCACTGTAGTTGTGTTTACAAACATGCCTTTTTGAACTGCATTGTGAAGGAGCGAATGGCATGTCTGGGATTGCTTTATAGGCTCCAGCAAAAAACCAAATAAAACAAGTCTCATAGGTTGATGGTTTCTGAAGCTGGATATGCGTACATGGGAGTTCATTATAACCCATAGGAAATTTCATAATAAAAAGTTTAAAAATGCTTCTGAGTTTGATTTCTTTAAGGGTGTTAAGAGCATATCAAGTGAGGAGGTTAGTGGATTATGGGGCTGTGGGCTCTGAACCTGTCACAGAATTTTCCCCGAGTAAGCCTTATCTTTTCCAGTTACGCCTAGTCTCTCATGCCCTAAGCTTCTCTACCCCCAGAAGTAAAAGGAGTTGTGAACAGGAAGAGGGAGGAATAAGAGAGGCCCCTGTGTTCATTTGTTTTCCTTTTGTCCATTCTAGCCTGAGCATGACAGCTCCCATCCTCCAGCGAGGCCAGTGGCCAGTGCCAGGACTTGGAACAGGACTTGGGACATTACTGAAATGGCTTGGGGATGGATTTCAGAGGCCACCACCAGCCAAGTATGCTGCTCCTTCTTTCTCTAGAGCTCTAGTTTCCTTCTGGTTTAGAGACATTAGGTCCTGATGGGGCTGAGCAACAGCACTTGGCAGGCTTTCAGGGTAAAGACCAAGGCTGATGTAAGAGTCTTGCCATCTGGTGTCATGCTCCTTCACTCCCCCCCCCC